TGAGCCGAAGTCGGAGGCTTAACCGACTGAGCCACCGAGGCGCCTGTAAAACTTTAAGTATTCTAAGTTTAAGTTTATTTCATTTACGTATTTATTTATTTATTTAAAGAAAGACAGAGTGAGCATCAGCAGGGGAGGGGCAGAGAGAGAGAGAAAATCCCAACCAGGCTCCAGACTGTCATAGCAGGTCCCAATGCCGGGCTCCAACTCACCACCCAGGCGACCATGACCTGAGCCGAAACCGAGGATTGGTGCCACCCAGGTGCCCCTAAAAATTTAACACTAAGGAGTCAGGCCAGGGGACCTTTGCTCCCCCGATGTGACAGGACCACTAGCTGACCTGGTGGGCTGGTGAGCCCCCTGAGTACCTCCCTCCGCCCTGGGGGACAGCTGCGGTGACGCTCAGGTGGGCTCTGGGATCCAGTGGCAAAGCGCCCTCTTTGGCACAAAAAGATTTTGTGACGTCAGTTCAGACTCTGTGAAGACCTCTGGAGTGAGGTTACTTTGGACTCCTCCCCTCTGCCTGTGGCCTTTGCACTTCTCTGCCTCCTCCCCTGGCCACCTGGGGGGTTATCCCTTGCCACCCCCCACGTGGAGAGCACGTCCTGCCCCAGCATGCCTTTATTATTCCTGGGCTCCCTAGGGACGTACAGTCTTGACGTCCCTCTCAGGTCTAGACTGAACTCTCAGAGCACCGGCCCTCTCTGTCCTCACTGGTCTTGCTGTCCAAAGGCGCGGGCGTCAGGCTGCAGACCCCTAGACGGTGGTGGGGAGCCCAGCTTGTGCTGATAGAGTCTTCTTTGCCCCCTCTTAACCACTGTGCTCTGCTCTTGCAGTACTGAACTGATGAGACGGGTCCGTCGCTTCCAGATCGCCCAGTACAAGTGCTTGGTCATCAAGTACGCCAAAGACACTCGCTATAGCAGCAGCTTCTCCACGCACGACCGGTCAGTGTCCGCTCTCTTCTGTCCTCTCCTAACACCTCCTCTGGAAGCCGGGTGGAATGGAAACTCACGGGGCGGGGGGG